ATTAAATGGAACAGTCCGCTCGTATGTGATCTTCTAGGCCTGATTCGTGCAAACGACGACTAGTTGACTTACAATCAGGTTCACAATATTAATGCTGCACAAAGGTGACCAAAATTGGGACGAAAAATGCATGATATGTACGGCTCATCTAGAGGTGGGGTGGGGTGAGGAGTGAATTACTGAATCGAAAGAAGGGCCGGAGGAAAGGGTGGCTGTAGAAAAAAGCACCTCTAGCAAGCGCGTACACAAAGCCACTCCCCGAGTTTGTGGCAGTCGAGATCATAAATCTGTCCAATGACTAACTGGTTGGTGTATGCTGCGTGGTGTTCACGGTTGCAGCTGCACTCTTTCTAAAAGAATGATGTACAGATGAGTGCACACATACAAACATATATAAACCCACAGGGCTGAAACGAAGGCACTGTCGTTTCGATATACCGTAAGTCTATAAAGTTCTCTTCTTATATTGGGGCAATAGTCTAGCTAGGAGAACGTGCAAATATATCGTGCCAAGTAGCAGTCTCCTCCGATTAGAAATATTCCGCTCCGATTTCTTCAGTCTCACCCACTACACGTCTCATTTTACAAATTTTCGTTCTTCTCATCATCGGTATCACCACCACCACCACCACCACCACCACCACCAACGCACAAAATCAAACCACCCCACCCNCCACCCTCAAAGCACGCGTAGTTCTCTGTCGTTGTTCATGGCCCTGGAGGTGGGTGGGAATGCAGAGTGAGTTGCGTGATGTACTCGGGTAAATGATAGGGGACGGAATGTATTTGTGTATGTTTGTGCGCAGGAAGGGTTGCAGATGAAGAAACCATAAACGCGGAAGAGTCTGCGCGTCTGACTGCACATCCAGGTGGCCAGTGCGTATTTGCAAGTCTGACTGTGAGCGTGTGTTTGTGCTCAGTTTTATGACCCAAACCAGTGCAAAGAGTTCGTTCGTGACTTCCTCCGGCTGGATGCCGGTGATAGTGACTCAGTCTCCTAGTCGTTGCACTCACACTGTCAATATACCGATTCTCCTCGCATTTAATGCTTTTTTTGTTTGATCACACCAGAATCACATTATATTCGGGCCTTAGCCGTAGGTATCGGGATATTGATGCTGTTGTGTGTTTCGGTCCACTCGAAAATTTGTATAACCTCTGGTGTGAGAAACCTAGGAAGATGATTGATTTGACTGACTGCCCTTCGGACTTCACCTTCACTCACAATCCTCAGTTCCTCGGTTCAATCATCCATTCGGAATCACTAGACTCGAGTTTTTCTCTTATTAGAACTCATCGGTAGTGCATATCCACCTACCCTTCCGGGATTTTAACTTCGGACCCATCGCATGGAAGGCGTGTGCGTTATCACTGTGCCAACCAGCTCGTGCTATGGCTGAACCGAATTGCCAATTCAGTTTTTTTTCAGGTGTCCTCTTCAGTGATAATCAATCAGTTCATTTGGCCCGACAACAACGAAGGGAGACATAGATGACAATCTGTTAACTCTAATCGAAAGCCTCTCACCAAGTCAGGACTTCCATGCAGGTTACGGGCTAACTTGCCACAAACCTACCAGGCTTGATTGACTTGGTTGACTATCCTTCGGACTTCACCTCCACGCTGAACTGAGAATTGTGCGTGAAGTTGAAGTCCGAAGGATAGTCAGCCAAATTAATCACTATCAATTATCCCATACTACTACTCACAAGTAACTATGAGTTAAATGTGAACTAGGGAAATGAGTCTCCCAGGTCGACTCAGCGATCGAATAACGCACATCCACCTACATGTTCAGGGGGGGGGGATCAAAGTTGATCCAACTAATTCGCTCAAAGTTGACTGTAGAATCAAACAACAGCCTACGCCTGTGGTGTGATAGGTATGGCGAACAACACAGTAACAGAATTGGCATCCTCCACGAATCGGACCAATCAGTTCTTGCTTTCTTGTATATGGCGAGGTATTATACGCCGAGGTTAGACCAAACACAGTTCTCATTCCCTAATTTATAATTCATCATCATCATCGTACAGCGCAATACAGGTGAAGCGAAATTCACTGATCGCCGCCAAAATCACAATGCAGTTCAGTCCAGTTCAGCTTCTTAAAAGCATTGACAATTCATTCTCATGTGCCAGTTTTGGTTTCTGTCTTCTGACTTTCCATTTCAATGCAATTTTGCTAGCAGAGTCAAGGAAGATGAAGAATTCACATGGATTAGGATTGCAAATATAATGAGTTGATGCACGAGTGCCACTATTTGCGACACTCATAATGAACATAAGGTAAGTGAGAATGTGTATAGAGGATAGGGATATGGTATATATATAGGTAAGGGGAGTGAAAATGAACCTCTAAGGTCAACACACAGTATATAGTCCAGCTATGCATACACACGTCTTGAAGCCTTCTGGTCTGACAAGAAGTGACAGCCAAGTCTTTCATTAGCTCCCACATCATATAGCTCTTTTTTCATCAACTAGGTGGGTTTCTTTTGGTATAGGTTTTGCGAATTACATTTGAACTGAAAATAAGTTTGGGGTTCATAAAATTAAAAGATAACTCATGCACGATCACGGAAGCACTTCGACCTCCTCAATCAGGTTATCTCATTATTAGTTTGTTACTTTGGTGTCCTGAATCAAGTGGTTTAATCAGCTGTTATTGGCGTAGTTCAAGGAACAAGGTCCTAGGTTCGAACCCCGGTTATACCAACTAACTTCGGTGATAGGCAACGTTTACCATCGCTTGACTGGATGCTGTATCTAGATTGATTCTGCCTCCGGCATTCTAAATTTATTTTTTATCTAAATGGTTAGCCAAAGGATATAAACCAGAACCACGTATCAAAGTTTAAGGGTAATGGTTGTATAAGCCGAACCTAAGTGGTTTGGAACTCACTCTCAGAAGCTGTCTCGTTTCCTCACACCGGAAGAGTTAGTCCTCATGACTGTGAAGGGTTCAGCCCTTGTACCGTTTGCCATATGTGAAAAAATATACTATTCTATGCATTACTACTACGTTACAAGTGTAATGCATTACCATGAAAATGAGTCACCCTAATCGAATTTATTCGCTCTAATGTGTTTACTTGCGATCCCATTCCCTTTTATTGTGTCCACGCGGTAATGACGTATGTCAAATCATCTGTCAACTGATGCAATCTGCCAATCATCGACAAACTACTGTCCAGACAAGGCAAGCGCCCGGGGGTGGGTCAGTTCTCCTTAAGCACTTGAGTTTGTTTTCCTCTGATTATGAATGGAATCAGTGCAATTCGTGGCGCGAATAAAAGCGAACGAGTTGATGTTATCAGTTGTATGTCTAAATGATGTCCAGATAGTTATATACCACATTCAATGATCAATACACACATATTTGCTTCGACATGTCTTCAATCGAGACTGGCGATGGTATCTACACACTCACATCCACATCATTCAAGTTTAGACTACCATCGTTGACTAGAGTTTAGAGTCGTTTCATTCTTCACTCGTCAAGCTTTGAATCACCTGTGGCCTTTCGTTCTCTCTATCTCTTTACATATACATATATTCCTTCCGCTGTGCCCGGCACAATACAATGGTGTATGTTTATGGGTACGTTGATTGCTATCCAATGTGGCGTCGTTGTTTTGTTCTGGCCCAGTCGTGATCACCGAATGTTCTTATTGATGGAAATCGCCGGACGCGTTGAATGTCTTCTGACGCACGCGCTCTCTTTCTCTCAAGTCCATGAATCACTAGCTACATTGCTTCAAGTGCTTGCAAGACATGTTTGGTCAGAAAACAAGTCAACGTAAGAAATGCTTTGTACTTGTACAGCACCGCATTTGGAGGCAGGTTAATTTAACCGCTTTGAAAACAGTTACTCGTGGTTGATAAGTGGTTACACATTTATGTCGGTTGAACATTTAAATGGAAATTGGCACGATAGAGACCGAATGACAGAAAGATACAATTTTTTTGCGAAATCCGACAGTGAGTCTTATCTGACTGTTTATATATACCATTTTATTCCCGAACAGCGTCCGTATGCTGGAAGAATAATGTCAGGTAATTTCTCAAGGTTGGATGGCATATTCCAGTTCAGCATCGTTTCCACTGTCTACTGCCATCTCGAACAGCGAATCTTTAGGCTGGCAGTTGAAACTGTCACTTCTGATTCATGTAACCGATAGGACCCATATTCGAACGTTTATTCATAGTAATTTATCCAGGGTTTAATCAAACTCGAGGAACTCCACAGGTACCAAAAACTGTTTCTAAATGTAGCGGCATAATACTAACGTGGAAATAACTAAGCCTGTAGTACACACAACTGCCAACGCACCGTGTCCGTGAGGAAGTTTGACCTAACACAAACGCGAGTGTCAATCATTGTAACGATTGGTTCAATGTGACTGGTGCTGACTGTGAGGCTTGCTTATCCGAGCTTCGACATTCAGTTACTACCAGACGAGTCCCGCTAAATGAATGAACATGACT